TCCAATTTCCATGAGGTTATGTCCTTCATTTTCTAAGGTTCTTATGGTTTGAGGTTTTACATTTAGGTTTCTGATTCATTTAGAGTTAATTTTTGTGTATGGGGATAGATAGGGGTCCTGTTTCAATCTTCTGCATGTGGTCAGCCAGTTTTCCCAGCTCCATTTACTGAATAGGTTCTCCTCTCCCCAGTGGTAGGTGGTGGAGGCTTTGTCAAAGATGAGTTGGTTGAGAAATTGAGGTTTCGCTTCTGGAATCTCAATTCTATTCCATTGATCTGTATGCCTGCTCCTGTACAATACCAAGCTGCTTTGATTATTGTAGCTTTATAGTAAAGTTTGAAGTCTGGTAATGTGATACCACTTGCCTTGTTTTTTTTTGCTGAGGATTGTTCTGGCTATTCTTGGTCGTTTGTGTTTCCATATGAATTCCTGTGTTGTTTTTTCTAGGTCTGAGAAGAATGTTGCTGGTAATTTGATGGGTATTGCATTAAATCTGTAGATTGCATTAGGTAAGATGGACATCTTCACAATGTTGATTCTTCCAATCCATGAGCATGGGATATTTTTCCACTTGTTTGTGTCATCTTTGATTTCTTTGAGCAGTATTTTGTAGTTTTCATTGTAAAGGTCTTTCATGTTTCTGGTTAGGAAGATGCCAAGGTATTTCATTTTTTTGTGTGGCTATTGTGAATGGAATTGTGCTTTTTTATTTGGGTTTCTGTTTGTTTATTATTGGTATAAAGAAATGTGATTATCTTTTGTACATTTATTTTATATCCAGGACTTTGCCAAAGTCCTTTATCAGTGTAAGGAGGTTTTTGACAGATTCTTTTGGGTTTTCAAGATACACGATCATGTCATCTGCAAAGAGAGATAGCTTGACTTCCTCTTTTCCTATTTGAGTACCCCTGATTGCCTTCTCTTCTCTGATTGCTCTAGCTAGGACTTCCAATACTATTTGGAACAGGAGGGGTGAGAGTGGGCATCCTTGTCTTGTTCCAATTTTCCGGGGAAATGGTTCCAGTTTTTGTCCATTTAGGAGTATGCTGGCTGTGGGTTTCTCGTAGATAGCTTTTACCATTTTGAGGTATGTTCTCCGTATGCCTAGCTGTTCGAGGGTTTTTATCAAGTAGGGTGCTGGATTTTATCAAAAGCTTTTTCTGCGTCTAATGATATAATCATGTGGTTTTTGTTTTGACATCTGTTGATGTATTTAATTACATTTATGGTTTTACAAATGTTGAACCGGCCTTGCATAGCAGGGATGAAGCCTACTTGGTCATAATGGATGATTTTTAAGATGTGTTGTTGAATCCAGTTCGCTAGGATCTTGTTGAGAATTTTAGCATCTATGTTCATCAAAGATATTGGCCTGTAGTTCTCTTTCTTTGTTGGGTTTTTACCTGGCTTGAGTATCAATGTGATGTTAGCTTCATAAAATGATTTGGGAAGAGTTCCGTCTTTCTAAATCACCTGGAATACCTTCAGTAGGATTGGTATAGGCTCCTCCTTAAATGTCTTGTAGAATTCTGCTGGAAAGCCATCTGGTCCAGGGCTTTTTTTTTGTAGGTAGTTTTCTTATTACATAGTCAATTTCCTTGATTGTTATTGGTCTATTTAGGGTCTCAATTTCTTCTTGTTTCAACCTAGGCAGGTTGTGTGATAACAGAAAGTCCTCCATTTCCGAAAGGTTTTCAAGTTTGTTTCTATACAAGTGTACACAGTAGTCTCTAATGATCTTTTGTATTTCTTCAGAATCAGATGTGACTTCATCTTTTGTGTTTCTGATTGTGTTTATTTGGGTTTTTTCTCTCTTTTTCTTGGTCAGTCTAGCTAGGGGACCATTGATCTTGCTTATCCTTTCAAAGAACCAGCTTTTTGTTTCATTGATTTTTTTGTATTATCTTTTTGTCTTCTATGTCCTGGATTTGGGCTTTTATTTTGGTGATCTGGATTCTTCTGCTGAAATTAGGGTTTTTTGTGATCTTGCTTTTCCAGCTTCCTTAGGTGACTTCTTAGGCTGTTAATTTGTGATCCTTCCATTTCCTTCATGTGCATTTGTAGGGAAATAAATTCTCCTCTTACTACAGCTTTCATGGCATCCCAGAAATTTTGGTAAGATGTTTCTTCATTTTCGTTTGTTTCCAGGTATCGTTTAATCTCTGTTTTGATTTCATCATTGACCCAGGAGTTGTTTAGCATCATGCTGTTTAGTGTCCATGTCTTTGCAGGTTTTGGGGGGAACTTGGTGTTAATGATTATTTTTATTCCACTGTGGTCCAAGTAGGTGCATGGTAAAATTTCAGTCCTTTTAAATTTGCTTTTGCTTGATTTATGGCCAAGTATGTGGTCGATCTTAGAGTATGTTCCATGCGGTGATGAATAGAATGTGTATTCTGTGGTCTTTGGATGGAGGGTTCTGTAGGTATCAATTAAGTCCATTTGATCAAAAGTCACGTTGAGGTTTTGGATCTCATTGCTGATTTTTGTCCTGATGATCTGTCTAGAGTTGTGAGTGGGTTATTGAAATCCCCAGCTATGATGGTATTGGAATCGATATCTTTTTTTAGTTTACCTAGGAGCAGCTTTATGAAAGTTGGTGCTCCTATTTTCGGTGCATATATGTTTAGGATGGATATTTCTTGTTGATGGATTGAACCTTTTATCATTATTGAACCTACTATCATTATGTAGTGACCTTTTATATCTTTTTAAATTTTTGATAGCTTAATGGGTATTTTGTCTGAGATTAAGATCATGACTCCTCCTTTCTTTTGTGTTCCATTCACCTGGAAATTTGTTTCCCATCCTCTTACTTTGAGTCTGTGAGTGTCCTTTCTAGTGAGGTGAGTCTCTTGAAGGCAATAGATTGTTGCCTGGTGATATTTTATCCATTTTGCCATTCTATGTCTTTTCAGTGGTGCATTTAGTCCATTCACATTCAAATGAATTATTGAAATGTGAGAGTTGATCCCTATCATAATGTTCTTACCGATTTGTTGTTCTTCCTGTTTGTGTGTTGTCTTTCTTTTGGTTTTAGAGTTGGATCATGTGTGTTTTTAAACTTTTGCCTGTACTCTCATGAAGAACGTTGTTGTTCTTTTTTCCTTTTCTTCAGTGTTCAATACTTTCTTAAGTGTTTCTTGTAGAGGTGGTCTTGTGGCAGTGTAGGTTCTTAGGGATTGGATATCTGGGAATGATTTCAATTCTCCCTCACTGATAAAGCTTAGCTTGGTTGGGTAGGTTATTCTTGGTTGAAATTGTTTATCTTTTAGAACTTTGAAGATAGAGCTCCAAGTTCTCCTAGCCTGGAGTGTTTCTGTAGATAAATCTGCTATTCTAATTGGTCTTCCCCCTGGTACGTAGTCTGACATTTTTCCCTTGCAGCCTTTAGGATTTTTTCTTTTATACCTACTTTGTTTAGGTGAATTATTATATGTCTGGGAGTTGGTCTTCTCATTTGTTGTTTTGCAGGGGTTCTCTGAATCTTTTGTGTTTGAATTTTTTCATCCTTGATGAGATGAGGGAAGTTTTCTTGAATGATTTCATGAAATGTTTGTTCCAGTGTGACCTCTCTTTCTCTCTCTGCCTCAGGAAGGCCAATTACTCTTAGGTTCGGTCTCTTGAAGTGATCATTTATCTCTCGAAGGTTTTGTTCTGTCTTTTTGAGCTTCTTTTCTATGTTTTTGACAGTTTGGGTTAGTTCTGTGTTTTGGTCTTCAAGCTCGAGATTCTTTCTTCTGCTTGGCTAATTCTGCTTTCCATGCTTATTAGTTTGTTATTTATTTCCATCACAGTATTCTTTACTGGTGTTATTTCTGACATCAGCTCCTTCCTATTTTCCTCTTGTCTCTCCTCAATTTTTTAAATTCTCTCTATTAATGTCTTGATGTCTGGGTTTGTTGCATGTGACTAGTCATTCTGGGGCTCTTCATTGTTTGTGTTCTGGAATCTGTTTTCTCAGTGTCTGATCTCCCAGGGGTCTGTGTGAGACCTATACTCTTCTTTTGGTTTTTCTTCATTTGTGTGGTTTTTTTCCCCCTCCCTACTTAGTCCTTACTTCCATGTCCCCGTCTTCTTTAATTCTTTTATTCAGGGGTAGAGGGATTGGTTTTACTTCTGTTAGTTCAATCTCCTATTCTTTATGTATGTCCTCTTACTTTGTTCAATTCTGGAGTTGCACTGTAGGTTGGGGGTGATCCTTTTTGCAGTATCAAGATTTACATAAGGGGGGAGCTGTGATTCAAAATCTATCTGCAGGTCCTGGTATTCACCGACAGGTGTATGGATAATCTGAAACCCACTTCCCACTGCCTTGGAATCTGTCCATGCAGTGGCTCTGTAGGTTTACTCCCTGAATTAAAATGTGGTTAGCAGAGGGAAGAGAATGGAGCAGAGAGTGGGGGGAAGATGGGGGGTGGAGAGAGAGAGGAATAAGGGGGGAAACAGATGAGTGTATCAACAAATGGAGAGAGAGGCCTAAACTGAAACAGATAAATATAATAGTCCACGGCTACAGACTAACCAGCTCCCATACAAAAAAAATAATAAAACATCCAATGATGCTAACATACAAGCTAACCAACCACCTTATTGGTGTTCTGTTCCGCTACACAAAGATATGGTTTACAGAGAGGAGAAAACAGAAGAAAAGGAAGAGAAAAAAAAAGGAACAAAACAATAGGAATAGAATCAAGTCATTAAACTAACAGAACCAATCGAGCACACTCTGAGACTTTTCGCTTAAGTTCAATGTCCTTTCAGCTCTGATTTCTAGCTTTCTTTTCAAGCTGGTAAATTAATTCACAGTTAGGGTCAGTTGCCCCTGGCCTGCTGTGAAGGACAGTTCAGATCACTCTCTGTTCACCACTCAAATCTGGCCCGTCTCTCTTTTTCAAGCTTGTTTCTCCTGTTTTGGTGTTGTTACCTTGAATCGCCAGCAGGTGGTGCTATCTCAGCTGCTCACCCCAGAGGGGGTGGGGCTGGACAGGAGCCACCCGATGGAAGCCTGCCTCAGGGCACACGGGAGGAGACCCACAGTCGGCAAGACATCAAGGTGGCAGCAGAGGTGGCAGCGATTCCAGCAGATCTTGCTTGCAGGGGCTTCAAGGACTGCAGTTGTGGATCGCCTCAGGCACGGGTGGCACGATGTTCTATGGCCACCATGGAGGCCAGAGTGGCGCCGGCGGCTGCTGTGTCTGTGTCTGCATTGGCTGTCCAGACCACTGAGATGCCCCAGTGGTGGCAATGGCCGAGCTCTGTGTGAAGAGCAGGCTGCCAACATTGGGGTCCGCAGCCCTCAAGGAGAGAGTCAGAGACCCTCTGCGTTCTCCTTTGCAGAGAGAGTTTCATAGACCTGGTTGCCCCATTGCCATCTTGCCAGAATTTAAAGCAGATATTCTTTAAGAATCAACTAAGATGGTTTTAAAATGGTGATCTATATTTTGAACCAACTCTTCAAGTGGTACTGAAGTGGGGTATCCATGATCCATGCTTTTGAAGAACACTTAGAAAATAGGTAATATCCCCTGGATCCCACAGCCAGCAAGTGACTGAGCAGGATTTGAAACCATTTATTTCTCTTTCCTGCTACTCTATCGATAACTGGCCTCCAGGTTGCTTTGATGTAAATGAAGTTTAAATATTTTTCTTGTTTGTCTTATATGTTCAATTCTCTATGACTACTGGATATCCTTATAGTTAGTACTAGGGTTCTGTAATCTTATTCTTTTTAAACATTCAAAAATAATATATAATATTTTTCCTGTCTAAAATAATCAGTATAAAGATATACAAAGCAAAATATCCAAGAACCCTTTAGTCCTTTCTTTTATCCCTCTCTTGGATAACTGCTTCTTTTTAATGTATTTTTAAAAAATATAATGTGTAAACTTAACAAGAGTAATTCATTGAGTATTTTGCTACATGTTGGTTTCCATCTTAAATATTTTAGATAAATTCCCTTTGGAATCTTCATAACCACCTTTTAAGGCACTAGCACTGTCTCTATCAGATATTTGAAGAAGCTGAGAGGTGGAGATCATGAAGCTGATTGGTAGAGGGACAAAATTTGAACCCAATAGTCTATCTCTAGAGCTCTTAGATGCCATGCTAAGATGCCCCTCAATTCAGCGGTGAAAAATATATGTTCTAAGTATGCATATGTGACTTTTTAAAAAGTACTGTATGTTAAAGATACTGTCATATCAGTAAAGACAAATCTACTGCATTCTTTTAAATGACTGCATAGTTTCATAGAGTAGGGATGTAGTATGATTTATTGAACTACTATATAGCTGATGAACACTAGATTTTTGTCCCAATTTTTCACCTTTACAAATCATACAACAAAAATATTTATGTCTTATTCACATGGGATAATTTTTTCAGGTCAGTTGATTCTTTTTTTTTTTTTCCTAGTTGATTCTTAAAGTGGAGTCTACAGCCTATCTACATCACTCAAGATGCTTCCTAAAAAATGCAAACGTACCTTCAAGGAACACATAATCACCATATTATACACTCTTTTAGATAACTAAAAAATAGATAACTTTCCAATTCATTCTTAAGGCTATAGAACTTACTCTAAAATTAGACCAAGATAATATATAGAAAAAAAAATTAAAGGCTAATCTAATTAACAGTGAGAAAAAATCTAAGCAAATCAAATGTAACTATGCTTTAGAAGAATCATAAATAATAGTTAAATAGCATTTAATCTTAGGAATGCAAGGATAGTTCTATCTAGGGGGAGGGGAAACTAAACTAACTCATTAAGACAAAATTAGGAATCTTTCTCCAAGATAGCCCTTTGATTATTTATTTAATTTAATTTGATTTTATGGTTTGAGGTACAATTCAGGATTAGGTACATAAGTGGCCATTGTACAGGTGAAGTTTTGGCCTCCAATTGGTCTTTACTTTGCCTGGTTTGGGATCAGGTACTCTTTTGATGTTGTGCCCCCCTCCTCAGCAATACCCCACTACTGCCAATCCCTTTCTTGTAGTATTATGATAAATTTTCAGGATTCACTTTTGAGTGAGAACATGTGGTACTCAGTTCTTTGTTTCTGCAATAGATTGCTGAGTATGATAAACTCTAAATCCATCCAAGTTGCTGCGAAGTTCATAATTTTGTCCTTCTTTATGGCTGCATAATATTCCATTGTGTATATTACCACATTTTTTAGTCCAGTCCCCTTTTGATGGGCAGCATAGTTGATTCCATGTTTTTGCTATTGTGAATAGTATTGCAATAAATGTGCATGCACAGGTATCTTTTTTGTGGTATGAGTTGAGTTCCCCCAGGGTATATTCCCAAAAGTGGGATTGCAGAGTTGTGTGTAACATTGGTTTTTAAATCTTTTAGCAATTGCCACGCTGTTTTCTACAGAGGATATACTAATTTACACTCCCACCTACAGTATAGAAGCATTTTCTTTTCTCCACATCCTCCCTAGCATCTGTTGTTTTTTGGGTTATAATGATGGCAAACCTGACTGGAGTTAGATGTATTTCAGTGTGGTTTTGATTTGCATTTCTTTGATGATTAGTGAGATGGAGCATTTTTTCAGGTATCTATTGGCTGCTATTATGTCTTCTTTTGATGAGAGTCTATTCATATCTTTTGCCTCCTTTTTAATAGGGCTGTTTATTTTTTTCCTTTTGGTATGTTTGAGTTCCTTGTAGATCCTGGATGTTAGACCTTTATCAGATATACAGTTGACAAAATTTTCCCATTCTGTGGGCTGCCTCCCTCTCTCTCTTGATGGTTTTTTTTGCTTTGCAGAAGCTTTTCAGTTTGATGAGGTCCCAGGTGTTTATCTTATCTCTTATGGCATGGACTTTTGATCAGGAATTGGTTGCCTATTCCAATTTCTGTAAAGGTGTCTCCTGCTTTTTCTAAGATTCTTATAGTTTGAGGTTTTATGTTTAGGTCTTTGATCCATTTGGAGTTGATATTTTGTGTATGGTGCTAGGTAGGGGTCCTGTTTCATTCTTCTGCATGTGGTCAGCTAGTTTTCCCAGCACCATTTCCTGAATAGTTTCCCTCCAGTGGTTGTTGGTGGAGGCTTTGTCAAAGATGTGGTCTTCCTCTTGAGTTGGTTGAGAAATTGAGGTTTTGCTTCCAGAATCTCTGTCTTGTTTCTTTGGTCCACATGCCTGGTCTTGTACCAATATCAGCCTGTTTTGATTGCTGTAGCTTTATAATAAAGTTTAAAATCTGGAAGTATGATACCTCCTGCTTTGTTTCTTTTGCTAAGGATTGTTTTGGCTATTTGTGGTCATTTATATTTCCATATGAATTTCTCTACTGTCATTTCCAGGTCTGAGAAGACTGGTGTTGGTAATTTAATGGGTATTGCATTGAATCTGTAGATTGCCTTGGGTAGGATGAACATCTTAACAATGTCAGTTCTTTCAATCCATGAACGTGGAATCTTTTTCCATTTGTTTGTGTGATTTCTAGATTTCTTTGAGCAGTGTTTGTAGTTTTCATTGTAATGATCTTTCACTTCTCTGGTTAGGAAGATGCCAAGGTATTTCATTTGTTTTTGTGGCTATTGTATGGGATTATGCTTATTATTTGGTTCTCTGATTGCTTGTTGTTGGCATATAAAAAATGCGATTGTCTTTCACATGTTGATTTTTTACTCTGAGACTTTACCAAAGTCCTTTATCACTGCAGAGAAGTTTTTGACAGATTGTCTTGGGTTTTCAAGGTATAGGATCATATAAGATACATGTTCAGAATATAAAGAGTCAGAGACAAATCAAAATAATAATTAAAAAGAGAACCAGAGATTGACTAAAAAAGTTCTATTCCCTCTGTGCCCTATATACATGCAGTGCCAACCTCCATCTACTCTACTCTGTCTTTTGACTTGAGTATGGGCTTCTTGAATGCCCAGGTTGTGCAAGGTTCCAGAACCTACAGGGTCAGTGGTGGGTGGGAAAGGTGAGTTGATGGAATTGTTGCCTATTCTAAGTGTGAGTGAGCAGAGAAAACTATTTCTAGGGCAGTGGGGCACAGAGGAAGAGGAGGCATAATGGACTGAGGAAGAAGGAGATGAACTGAAAATAGAAATTATAGGTTTATTATCATTTTCTATCATAAGTTTCAGTATATTTGGGATACTGAGAGTAAAATTTCTCCAAGTTACTTTATAGAAGTATTTAAAGCAAAGGAATATGAAATCTAAGCAGACAATTCAAGCAAGATTTTTGAAGGCATTTTATCATTTTTGTTGTTTTCTTTTGTTATATAAAATATGTGATCTTCCTCTTGAGTGTGCACAGAATATTTGTACCCCTTGCTTAAGGGAAAAAACTGGTAATCACAATGTGTTAAACTCATCTGCTTCTCATCAGAAGAAAAATTTACATAACGGTATCAAGTGGATTGTGCAGGGTGTTTCCCAAAGGCTTTCAATCTATAAAAAAGAAAACATTTCATAAATTTCTACCTACTCAATAACAACAAACTATTGATCTAGAAATAGAAGGGAATTATTTTAACACTTCCACCTCTTTATCTCTTCCATGGACAACACCAAACTACTTGGATCTCTGAGCTCTATCTAGAGCATACACCCCCAAATTAAACTCCTCTATAAAAAATCCTTGCCACTTGTATATTTCCTAAAAATGTTAGAATTCACTTCTCACATTCTAATTTTTTAAAAACCCAGGTGCAATTTTAACTGGACTACTTGAATCTGTAGATTCATGTGAGGGAAAATCTTTGCAATATTGTGTCTTCCTGTACTAGTATATCATTCCACTTATTTAGCAAAGTTCTGAGGGTTTTAAAATATGACATATGAATTTCATGTTGTTTATATCTAAGTATTTTATTTTTTCTATCAGAAGTCGAATCTTTGTCTATGATATTTTCTAATCAGTGGTTGTTAGTATACAGGAATGCTACTGCTCATTGTCTGTTGGTGTTGCCAGTAATTTTACAGACCTCTCTTGTTTAATAGTATTTTACTTAAATCTCTTATGTTTTTCTAGAAAAACAAGCAAATGATGACTTAATTCTCTTATCATATTTTTTCTTGCTCTGTTACATTGTCTGGCACTTCTAGTAATAGAAATGATGGTAGGCATACATGTTTTATGCCTGACTCTAACAAGAATGAACCTAAATTCTCACAGTTAATTATGATATTTTCTATGGACTGCTTGTAAATATTTTCTTGTAAATATGCTTAAGCTAAATTTCCATTTGCTTTATTTTGTGTCTTTAAGTATTAGTTCTTGGGATATGGAATTGATTATTGAGTATATTCTTTCATAGTTCTCTG